GGGGCCAGGACCAGAAGTGGTGCTCCTGGAGCCCAAGAAAGGGACTGAGTTGCTCTGGGTGAGAAGGATCAGGAAGCAGTATTGGTTCCCCAGGTGTCTGGGGCCCCGAGACTAGGAATGGCGCAGGGCCCAAACTAGGAGTATAGAATGGCGAGGGGGGGGATGGAAGGGTGAATGAGGCTTAGGGAGTCCCGGCGTGGAGAGCTGCGCTGTAGACTTACCCCAAGAGCCACATAAGTTTTTAAAAAAGTAATTTTTGTTTTGAGATATGGTTGGCTTCAATCTCACAGAGATCTGTCTGTCTCTGCCTTTGTCTCCCAAATACTGGGATTAAAGGTGTGTGCCATCATGCCTGACAAAAATTAGTAATTTAATTTTGGTGCAGAGCAATGAACCACAGCCTTGTATGTGCAAGTGTGTGTGTGTGTGTATGTGTGTGTGTATGTGTGTGTGTGTGTGTGTGTGCACTAAGTGTGCATTCTACCACTGAGCTATACCCCTGGCCTAAGAAAACTTCTTAAAATCATTGTAATAAAAAGACATAAAAATCTTAAAATCCTATTTTTAAAAATATTTTATTTATTATTTTTATTTTTATGTGTTGAGTATTATGCCTGTGTGTATTTAAGTGTACCCATGTCATGTAATGCCCACGGAGAATAGAAGTGGGTGTCAAATCCTCTGGGACTGTAGTTACAGATAGTTGTTAGCTGCCCTGTGAGTACTGGGATTCAAACCCAGGTCTTCTGCAAGAGCAGCCAATGCTCTTAACCTCTGACTCATCTCTCTGACCCCAAGACTTCCTATCTTAACCATTTTTAAGTTAATACAGTAGTGTTGAAGGTCGAATATATTCACATTGTGTAGAACCAGAACCTTTTCATTTTGAAAATCTGATTCTATCATTATGAAACAAGTTCCCTTCCCACCTCCATGTCAGACCCTGGAAGCCACCATTCTGTTCTCTGTTTCTAGAAATTTAACCACTTTTATATGGTGTGCGTCTAATCATAAGCTCAACCTCTTTTGGCATTGCTCACCTACTGTTTAATATCACGCTATGTTCTGAATTACTAAAACAGATATGAACCTTGACACCTATGAAGCTGTGTAGAGAACATCCTTGAATAATTACTTTTGTTCATAGATAAAAAGTAATTAATAGTTATTAAATATGTAAGGAATATAAAATATTTTATTGTTTATTTATGGATAATAAAACATCACAAATGTAGTCCTTTCTCTTCATTAATGAGTATAATGTGCTAGTAGAAGTTATCATATTAGAAAACATTTTTATGTTTATTTCTCAAATTATAAAAATAAAACTACTATAAAGTTAGAAGTAGGAAAGAGGGTTTGGAGAGATGGCTCAGCAGTTAAGAGAATTGACTGTTCTTGCAGAGGACCTGGGTTCAATTCCCAGCACCCACATAGTGGGTGTCCTAGTTTGTTTCTTCATTGCTGTGACAGAATACTCTGACCACTACCAACTTGGGGAGGAAAGGGTTTATTCAGCTTACATCTCCCAGG